TGCTTTCCAAATTCTTATATGCTCCTCACACTATTGTATTGATATATTTTGCTTTGGCTATATTGATACAATGTGAGAAAGCACTCTTTTTTGCATATATAATCGTGTGGGCTGATGAAAAGATTATATCTTTATTTTCCGGATTTTTAAAAAAAATTTCATCCTTTTTTTTCCAGTTGTTTATTATTTTTTTTCATTATTATTTTTCTCCCCCCCCCCATCTTTTTTTTTCATATGTCTATTATTTTCCTTTGTTTTATCTTCATTTTGAACTTATGTAATGAGTTCTGTTTACTTGCAGCTTATGCGCAATAAATGAAACTTTTTGTTTTTCTTATTTTTCTTCGTGTTTACTTGAATTTATTTATTTTGTTGTGTATATATATATATTAGATGTTAAACTAAAAAAACAATCTTGTAATCATATGTAAAAAGAATTACCTTGTTCAATAATATGATACAGATTTTTCTGGATGCCGCAAATTTACACAATATTTTGGTCAACATGTTCTAATATTTCAAACAATATGTGATAGTCTTCAAATATAATATTGTAAATTTACCGCAATCATAATAAGATGTTAAACTGAAATAAAATATCTTGTAATCAAGAACAAGAAGAATCAACTTACTAGATAATATAGCTCAACTACATAATTTACTATAACAGCAGTATACTTATAAAATATTATGATAAACAATAATAGTCAAGTTCGAGAGAGTAATAGATAAATAAAAACATGAATGAATGTCTAGTTCAATTCAAATTATTGTTCATGAAGCTTAAGTTTCTCAATTTTCTATCTAAACGAAATCTAACTCAACGACTTAAAAAAAATTGAAATCGATATTTTATTACAATAAACAACAACAATAATTGTCTTCTTTCATCAGATTCTGAACAATTTTAATAGAATTTTATTAAAAGCAACTCAAATGTAATTGAAGATCAAAAAAAAAAAATATACAAAAAAGTATTTTTTGTATAGCATAATTAAAATACACTTACAAGTGTACCAGGAAAACACCAAACAAAACCAATTTATTGAAAGTGTAAAACCAAGTTTAAAAAAAAAACAATCTCCTTTAAAGAAAAGTCTAACAATTCCATCAACTTTTTCAATCTCAGCGCCATTTTTTTTTCTCTCCCTCTCTCTCGACGCATTTCCTCGAAAAAGAAATTTCCTCCAATAGGGTGATCGTATTTCATTTCTTTAATAACATCTTAATTTGATAGTTCCACATCTAGAACTTTTTTTTATTCCAAATTCTCTCATCTCCCTACAGATAGCTCTCAACTAAGAATATTGATTCACGTTTATAACATTGACCGACACTCTTTACTCACGAGTTGCTTTTGTTCTTCTTTTGGAATAGTGTTGCTAAAAGCGTTGCCATTGGCAACAGAGTGTAATGTATGATCCGCTACTGTAATCCTTTCTCCTTCGTCGTAACGCATTTTATCTGTTACGGTAATGTGGAGTTATTTGAACTTATATGATTTGGTTTCGATTATCTAAGACTAAATATTTTTCTTGGCAAATTATTTTCTGAATATGTAAGAGATACCGTTCTTTTATTTTCTTGATTACTTAACTTGGGATGGTCCATAAAAAAGAACCTCTTTTCGCTGCAAGTAATAAAAATGTTTAAAAATTGAAAAATGAGGCTGTAACTTTTTTTTTCCATCAAAATTTAATTTATTGTTTTAATGTATCAGGGGCATAAAGAAATAATGTCGTTTCGGCGCATTAAATATTCGTTAGACTTAAAAGCTAATTCACTTGTTTGATCCATTTTGATTCATTTTCGATCAGGCATTGAAAAGCTAACATAACGAGGGTGAATGCATTATTAATTAAAAATAAAGTCTTGATAACAAATATCAAATTCTTTCCGGTTCCCGTGATATTTGTACTTTTTTCTGCAAAATATTTCTCAGAATGATGTATAGTGCCTTTATTAAAATTTTACTGCTTTTTTTACGTTATATATTATTAGTCAAAGGTAATAATAGCAAATTAAAAGAGTTTCAAAGATTTTGAATGATTACTTTCAATGCATAAATCTCACATTTTTACTCCTTATCTTAATGTCTGTATTTAGAATTTAACTTATTAAAATTTTACTGCTTATTTTACATTATATATTATTCGTCATAAGTAATAATAGCAAATTAAAAGAGTTTCAAAGATTTTGAATGATTACTTTCAATGCATAAATCTTATATTTTTACTCCTTATCTTAATGTCTGTATTTAGAATTTAACTTATTAAAATTTTACTGCTTATTTTACATTATACATTATTAGTCAAAAGTAATAATAGCAAACTAAAAGAGTTTCAAAAATTTTGAATGATTACTTTCAATGCATAAATCTTATATTTTTACTCCTTATCTTAATGTCTGTATTTAGAATTTAACTTATTAAAATTTTATTTAATTTAATAAACTTATTTAATAAAGTTTCGCACACAATTTTAAAATTCGTTTTACCCAAGATAATTCCACCCAAAAATAATTTTTAATAATTATTTGTTATTTTAATTGTTTTATTTAAAAAACTTATTTAATAAACTTATTTAATAAAGTTTCGCACGCAATTTTAAAATTCGTTTTACCCAAGATAACTCCACGCAAAAATGATTTTCAATAGTTATTTTTATTATTTTATTTAATAAACTTATTTAATAAAGTTTCGCACATAATTTTAAAATTCATTTTACCCAAGATAACTCTACGCAAAACTAATTTTCAATAATTATTTGTTATTTTTATTATTTTACTTAATAAACTCAAAAATATTTCGAATGGTAAGGTATGCAAATTTTTTTACATCATTTTAAAATATGTAAATTTACATGACAAAATACTAATCGAAATCGGTGGAACAGGTTCTGAGAAATCGAATTTTAAATGTACTACTTTCTAAAATTCCATTTCTCAGGAACTATTCGAGCGATTTTGCTTAAATTTTGTGTTTGTCTTATAAAATTCTACAAAATTATACAAAATTTGTATACATTACAACTCAAAACTTTTCGAGTATTATTAAATGAAATAATTAAAATTTTTAATAATAAATCCATAAAAAATAAAATTTACAAGAATGTCGCGCCAATTTTACATACCCTCATAATTTTTAAACAAAATTTACAATTTTTGGATGTTCAGAAAAAAATAAAATTTAAAAAACGGATTGGGCAAGAACCATTTCTTCCTCGAAATTTTGCCAATTTATGCTTTCTCAGTAGATTACTCGCCGCCATCTTCACTATATTTCTATTTGTTTCTTTTGTCTACATGTGAACAAGAACAGTTTTTGCCCATCATAGCCCATCTTCATTGTATAATAAACTCTCGATGAAAACCTATTTTACCCGTTATTTATTTATCAAAACTTAGTAATCTTTAAAATGAAACAGATGACGATCCAATCGTGATGTTTTTGCGAAAAATGGGCATGAATTGTCTCCTTTATCTTCATGTACTATAAATTTTTCATTGAGTCTAATTGTTATTATAATTTTCTCCAATTACTAGCCTTGATGTATGACGGAATTTTTCAAGATAAAAAGAATTCGTTTATGGACATTAGGCAATATTCTAATTTAAGGAATATTAAAAAAGAAACATTTAAGCGACTGCCCACGTTCGGTGAACTTTTTTTAAAAAAAATAAATTTTTAAGAACTTTTATGCTTAGTTATATAAAATGGGATAAAAAATGACACAAATAAGAAAAATTAAAACAATATATTTTATAGTTTGTAAAATTTTGTTGAAATTAGGTCAAAAATTAGTGATTTTTAAGAGTTACGCTGGACACTCTCAACTTAGTTGTGCGTAATAAAATACAATTTCCTTTGGAATATATATTATTCTAACCCTTTTCTGTGTTCTGAACTAAAAGTTAATCAAAATTTTAAAAATTTGGTGAAATATGCCCAATTACGTAGAAAAACAGCAAAATAACGATATATTTTTTAAGTTTTTTTGATTTACATAGCTATAAAATAATCAAATATTGGAATAGAATTTTAGTTCTAGTTCAGAACACAGATAATATTATTTATAACAGTGTTACAAAATTCAATCATAAAATTCCTAATAGTTTTTGAGAAATAAGGTCCAGCGGGAATGGAAAAACGGAAAAATGCAGTTTTCCAGAAAACACATTTTAAGATTTATTTGTACAGTAAAAGTAAATTACATTTATCATACAAGCATTAAACTATTTAAAAAGATATACCAAACCTCCATATACTGTATACTTGTTTAAATTGGACTTTTCACTGAATATTCTTTTTTTCTTGATCCTTTTTTCAATAAGTTGAAAATCTCCGTACAAATGCTCGATTTACTATTAGTAAACATTTGTTTAGTTTTTGTCATTTTAGATTTTAATTACTTTAGAAATACAGGTGATAATAACACTGTATAGCTTGAGTTAGATATAAAAAACAATAAAAGTGCAATTTCATATCAATACATAATTAAATATTTTAAAAATTTGAGTATGAAATTAGTACATTATATGTTTGTGTAATACACCATTACACAAAATTATAACCAATAAAACATATTTCTTTTATACTACATACTAATTTTACTCTATTTTGTGCTTTGAACTAAAAGTATAAAATTTATATAAAAAAGCTGAAAATATATACAATATTATGCTTAAAAACACAATATTTAAAATAACATTTTACGAAGATTTTTGAAAAAAGAAAGAAAAGATTTTTGAAGAAAATTAAAAATAACTAAAAAAATATCAAATTCTATCGAAAAAATTTCAAAATATAACTAGAATCTTGTTCAAGAACGGAATGTAAAGCGCGTGAATCAATTAGAAAACCATGTAGAAAACAAAATATGTAAACATCATAGCAGTTGCCATTCAAATCATATTTCTTAAAGAAAAATCATTAATAAATAATTTCCAGATGCATTTCAATACATTTATAATTATTATTAATATTATTTTATGGCTTTTTACTGAAAAGAAAACAAAAAACCAACGCATAACAGCTTTGTTTACATTAAATTCTGTCATTTTTTATTCACTTCCGGTTTTTCAGAATGTGACTTCCGGTTTTCAAATCGGCTATAACTTTACAAATAATTATCAGAAAATTAAAAGTAAAACATTTTTAGAATCTTGAAAGTTCATACTTTTTAAAAATATCTTAAACATAAAATCGATTTTTTGGACGAAATCACTCATTTCAAGGTAGGCAGTCGCCTTAATAATGCGCTGCAATTTTGATGTTTTTAAAGATTTTACTTAATTGATTAAATTTCGTATTTATCTTTAGGTATTTATTGGCATTTTGTTTTAAGCATAAAATACACTTTTATTTGAATTATTATCCTTTTTTAAATTAAATTTATTAATTTGTAATTTATTAAAATGTATTAATATAGTAATTTATTTACAAATTATTACATTATGATCAATATAATAATTTATTAATATTGTATAATTTACTAACTTATTAATATTACATAATATACTAACTTATCAATATATATAAATTTATTAATAAGTTGAGATTTATAATTTTTTTATGGGAAAAGCTAACAATAAACATGTTTTTAAAAATTTTAACAATTGTTTTTCATTTTAAAGTTTTTTTTAATAATTTTTTGTATTTTTTAAGAATGTTTAGGTCATTAACATCACAGCCCTGGTAATAAAAATCATTTTTAAAGTTGATATTATAAAATTGACAAATATTATTAAATATTTCATTCAATTTCTAGATCTTTATCTTCAAGCCTTTACTGAACTCTGTATTACAAATATTATTGTATTTTGAAATTCCTTATTAATTTTTTTTAAAAAAATAACAATTGCTCCAAGTCAAAATGTTAAAAAAAATTCAGTTCTGGAAGGATAGTTAACATATTGACTTTTTCTTAACTTATTATGCATTTCGGTATAAATTTGTTTTAAAATATTAAAGGAAAATGATTCGAAAGCTTTTCACGCGGCAAGGTTACTAAAAATATTTCAGAGAAAATCGAAAATATTCTATACAATAGCTCACTATCTGAGTAGCAAACAATTTCACATGCGTTTTCAAATACGAAATATATTATTGTGCTGAACAAATATGAATATTTTTTATTGAGGAAGAGTAAGTAAATATGAATATAAAAATGTACCAATAAATATTTCAGTTTTCTGTCTTGTTTGACTTTAACATCCCATGTATGCGTCACAGTGAATGAACGAAAATGGTTTTTGACGACTTTCACCGGTGAATGTCAATGCCCAAAATATTTTATAGTTCCGATTTGATATTAATGTATACATCAATATTTATTCAGTATTTTAATATATGATTAGGAGAAACATTAATGTTGCAAGCACCGAGCAAGTACAAGGATAATGACCGGTATTCGCTACCCAAACTTATTTTAGATTAGAACTCTTAGCCCAGTTTACACTTGTCCGGTATTCCCTACATTGATGTTTCTTTCCTTACCTGCTCCCGCTTGCGAAAGAATTGAAACAAATCATTCGCATAGGGAAGGATCTCAAAATTGAAAGGCTAGTGGTGCATGCTTGTTGTTTTGCAAATAGTGCAATCAGATTCAGGGTTCAAATTGCGTCAGCGACTGCTCGATTCGTATACAATTCTTTGGTTACCCTCCATTGACTTCCAAAGAAAATTATCAGTAGTTAGCAGATTACAGATTGTCATCGGGCTAAACACTGGAGGTTTTCATCTACATATAATCTCAAACACGAGTCACCTTCTTGTTAACTTCTGGAGTGACCTCTTTTATCTCAGTACTTCATGTAGGAATTTCATTAGTGTTTACTTTTAGTAATGCTACAATTTTTAAATGCATTTGCTTATTAGTTTTATTTATAAGAATTGGTTTTTTCGTATTTAAATACTTTGTTAAATTGTGGAGGATATGCTATTTTAATTTTAATTCTCAGTCGATACTTAATAATTCAAAATTCTAGTTTTAAAAAATTTTTAAACACATCTCAAATCTAAAACAAATACATTTTACCTTTTCAGATACTACTAAAGACTATGCTATAACTGTGATATTAAATAAAGAAGAATCCGAATTAGAATTTGTTGAGTTGCGTTCACCTGATGATGAGGTAACTATTCCTTAAACTATTGCATTAATCTATTTTCTGTAACTATTCCTTGCTGCCACATATTCTATTTCATCACAATGTTGTCCTATGAATTTTTACATTTTCATTTAGTAATAAAATCAACTTAAATTTGTTAAATTTAAATAAATATTATTATTAAGGGATATATCATGATTCAAATTTGTTTTATTTGAACTTTTGAAAGTTTCGCTATTCGTAAAACTAATTTTATTTATATTTACTCATTTTTATTGAAAGCAATATTGTATTGAATAATATTGAATTATATTGTATTGAATAATATTGAATTATATTGTATTGAATAATATTGTATTATTGAAGTATTTTAAAAATGCATGAATATACTTATAATTTTTAGAAATTGGTATTTTTGAAAAATACAATTTAATTTTTTTCAAATTGAGTTTTTTTTTTTAATTTTGCATTTGTGTTATATTACTTACACTCGTAAATAATTGATATTCAAATATTATTTTGAAAATGTGCAAGAAGAAATATGCAGAGTTTATAAATAGATTATTTTAAGTTATTCAAATTTTAATGAGGAACAGCATCTTTTCAGTTTCGATCTCTCTATTGATGAACTATACGTTGGTTTACAGTAGATTTAATCTTAAAATCCTTGACACAGTGGCCGAAATTAGTATATATGTAAAGAAACAAATTTTGATCTCCCTAATCTGTTTTTCTAGAAATGAGAATTTGTTTTCCTTCCTCATTTAAATAGTAATTTGATTCTAATAATGTGCACATTTTTCAGTTTAATTTGAACGAAGAGTTCAAAAATATATATTAAGGGCTGTGGATCATCCTAAATTCTTCTTTTTCTTTGATAAAAGTTGCAATTTAGGTATCGAAATACTTACTTAAAAATTGTATCTCTTGTGTTTACATACAGTGAAATATGCTTAAAATATATGTATATATAACATAGGGATTCTGTTGTAATTGGCATGCAAAATAAAGAGCAAATTTTTAATTTTTAACTGACATCAGAGCTAATTAATATTTTTTTTAAATTTGTTATAAATATTGAATATTTTCTTCTATTTCCATGCATCCTGAATAAGCTAATCAGCTTTCTAATAAAAGAAAAACTGATAGCAAAATTCCTAAAACGACTTTCAAAAACGCACCTTTTTACATTTTTAATTAGTTAAAAAAATAATTCTTGTTAGAGAATCTCTGAGAAGAATTTCTGTTCTTAGAATATTCAACTGAAAAGATGAAGCAGTGAGTTTTCAAAAATCTGTATTGAAATTTTAATACTCACTTTTTTTAGTCTTAGCTGGACTTGGTTAGCTTGTGGGGGGCGGAGTTATCGACCATGCCAACCGTCATCTATCAAAAGGTACCTCTTGATAGAATCAAGTTAGCATGCTTTATATACTAGTGAATGATGTTAAACTTTCATAGTGGTAGTTACGCCACAGTACTCCCCCACCAGAATTTTATCAGAGATATAATTCGATGAACAGATCTCACTAGTTGATGTACTTGTGAAAGACCGGGAGAGAGTCACCGGATTTTTTGAGTGCTGAATGTGAGAGGTGTATTAACATCACAGTCGAAGTCGCTCCTGTGTTGCCATTAGCAGTCGAGAGTATGCAGGCGTTGAGAGTGTAGACGTTGTGTGTTCGAGACGAGACTGAGTAGCAACAGCGCAGGAGGTGAATAATGCATTCACATATAGCAAGTCAACGGTTCAATGTGGACTATCCATCGAAGTAGGCGTTACCGTTAAGAGATTACGAAGTGGGCGTTACTTGCGTGAGCAGATCACGTTCGAAGGTCACCAATGTGGGGGCGGAGTTATCGACCATGCCTACTGTCATATATCAAAAGGTACCTCTTGAATGAATCAAGTTAGCATGCTTTATATACTAGTGAATGATGTTAAACTTTTGTAGTGGTAGTTACGCCACAAGCTTATAATAAATGGAAATTGAAAGTAGTATAAATTGTCTTTGTTTTATGTATTTTTAAGTATCAATGCCTGTTTCTTTATATATTTCTATATGGTTGTGCGTATTATTATGATGTTTTGAGTATTATAATGGCACTTTTTTATATTTATATATATCTTAATACAAGAATTTTTTACGTACACATCTAATTTTATAATCAACAAAATTGCTGAAATTTTGAAATTATTTATGTGTAATTCCCTATAGTATGAGATGAGATCATACAATCACCTGATACTCAGCATCCAATATATTCGAATTTGCGCCCAATATTTCGAACAATTTCATCACTAAAAAATATTTAAATTTTTTTTCTGTTCATATGCTTTCCCAAAATGATTTTAAATTTAAAAATTAAAAATTTTACCAGCAATGGTGGAAAATTTTAATTAAAATAAAAAAAAGTATATAAGAAGGCTAAGAAAAGGTAAAGGCTCAGAGATAGGCTCGATTCGAGTGGTTTTTTGGAATGTTTTATGCTACATGAATATTTCATTATTTGAGTCAAATAGATTTCTTTTTTCGTGTCTAAAATGTAAAAAAATACTTTGCAAAAATGTCATAGTACATGTAAGAAAATGCTAAGAAATTTAAATTTATCACTTTTATTTAACAATTAAAACTAACTAAAAAAAGTTAATTAAGTTTAAATAAATTACTGTTTAAGAGATATGGGTTTATTTTCTCCTAAATTAAATATTTTTGAATAAAAAAATATCATTTTCTGTCACTATTTTTAGCTTGGATCTCATGTACTAATGAATACTTGTTTTTCTTTACACAAAATAAATGTGTAAGTTATATTTCAGAACAATTTTCATCTCTCAAAAAAATTTTATAGTTTTTTGTACTCTTAAAAAACCATAAGATTTTATCGTGTGAAATGTAACTTTGTGATTGATTTTGTAACCTTTTTAAGATATTTCATTTGAAACATTTTGTCTGGGTTCCGAAGATATATTTAAAATATGTGCTTATTTTTGATACCAAAATATGCGGAAAAGAAATATTTTTTGGAAAAGAAATCTTCAATGCATCTGGTTTAAAATATAATGTGTAATACCGTATAATACCAGTGAGGGTGGGGTTTGTTTGGTGATGAATATTTTCCAAACATTTTCAATTTCTTGTTTATTTCCTATAGTTTTTAATACAGTCTTAATGCTTAAAACTTTTAACCTAATTCTTTAATATAACATAAAATAAAATGAAAAATAGTATAGCTAACTGGAACTGGAAAAAAATTGATGAATTTTATACTGATAAACATGACAAAAAAACTAAATTAATATAACATACCATACGGAAATTAAAATTAATTATGTATTTATTTATATATTTATAGTAGTATTATATAAACTTACTACAAATTATTTATTTCAACACAGAAGACTTGAAGACTTAATAGCTGTGTTTTTATTGACATAATTTCAAAAAATTCTTTTAAATGGGTTTTACCATTATTAAACTTAAAATAAACTAAAAAATCAATTTTTTCGATTTTTCATAATTATTGGATTTTGTAAAGTATCTATCATTGGTATATTATAAACTATTGAAATACTTAAGACTTGCTTTAAGTATAACTAATTTTAAGTTTTACTTGGTTGTGATTAGAATTAATAGAAAAGTATATGTTAATTAATAAGTTGAGTTAGAACTTAATTTTACAACTCAGTTTTTCAAACTCTGTGCATTAAAAATTCCGTTTTAAGTATAGAGAAAGCCAAATAAACATTTGTTAAGTATTGTCCCGATTTTCAAGACGTTTTTGAAACGGAACAGGAACTTAGCTTGTTAATGTTTTCCAAAACCTTTTTATGGAAGACAAAATACAAAAAAACATTTAATGATCTATTTGATACGCAGGATGTTCTGTAATTGGCCTTTTTAATATGTATTATTAGAATCCCGAAGAAAAATAAATAAATAATTATTTTTCAATAAAGATTGTAAATTTTTTTCAATAGAACAATTGTTAAATTCTGATAAATCGCTGGTGCTAAAAGCAAGATAGATTAAGAACCTCAAAACCTGTTTGATTGTCTGTGGAGAATTTAGAGATACGATCGCTTAAAGCATCTTCAAATTTCGCTAAAAAGTTTTGTTTCGTTTTGTTAAACTTGTTTTATGTTTTTAGCTCCACATTTCGTCAGGTTTTGTCGATTTCAGACTAGGTCTGAGCTTGCCTCAGCCCTAAACGTTGTGTATAGATATTTTTTTATAAAACGAATGAGACATTCTTACCTTGCATGACCAGCTTATTTACTGCAATTTAAGCATTTGTGTAAAATTTAAAGATATATTGGGCAACTGATAACAAGTTTTGTAGCTACAAGTAATTCTACCGTTAACCTGTAACTATCAATATATCTCATCTGTGGTAACTTGTATATATATATATAAAATTTTTCTTTTAAGTGGTTTAATTTATCGAAATAGCTGAGTACTTAAAATATCAATTAATAATCTAAAACACATATAAAAATAATCTTTATTAAGATTAAGCGAATATAAATGAAAGTATAATTTAATTACAGTTGTGCCATTTTTTTTTTTTTTTTACTTTTTGATGAGACATCATTTAAACTGTTAGAAATTGCTGAATAAGGTATTTCAGTGAAGTTTCTGTACGACCTGATTTATTTGAAAACGTTAACAATCATAAAATTGCCATTGATTTAGCGTACAAATTCTATCATTCAAACTACCATTTTCTGTCTAAATTTGAAAAAATTTGTTAAATAGTAATCTGACATAGATGATAGCACTACGTTTATCCAACATAGTCACCTGATTGTAAGATACCGATTTATGGTATATAAATAGAGTTTCAATTAGAAGATAATTATAAAAAATCCATGTAAAGTGTTGCAAGTAATTCATATAAATATTTAAATAATTTACATAAGACATTGAACATTTTCAAAGCCTGAACATTTTCTTTGACCTTTAAATATTTTTCTGTTTTCGTTGATTCAATGATAATTTCTCTAAGAAAAGCGAAAGTTCATCTTCAGAAATTTTAATCTGCTTTCGAGCCTTAACTGTAACATTTATTTCAAAACGTGTGATTACGTCAGAATTACGGTATCGAAAGCACTATCAATATACAGAATTATACTTAACTAGCTCTCATAAGAGTATTTAAAGTGAATGTAGAGTTGTGCTAATAAGGATGATCTTAGAACAGAACAACGAGAAATTAGTACAACGCACAGAACAACGAGGTCTTTTTTTAGTGACTGAAGGTGATTGCACCGTTTCTTACCTGAGACCGAATGCGCCCCAGATGTCAGGAGTGGTAACTCTTAAATGACCTAAACTAAGCATTTCATCAACGGAAGCAAGAGATATATTGATGATAATGATGTTTGCTTGAATTTTGGGACTAGTCAGAGATTCGATATTAGAGTACACCTTTCACGAGAAATTTTACGCCTTTTTTCTTAAACATTTGTCTTAACTATGTTCCCAATTAATTGCTACCATTTGACGATAAATATCTTTGCATTACACTCCCCTTATGCCACTGAAACTCTTATCATGGTGCTCTGTTCTGTTTGGACGCATTACTCTAAGCATGAATTTACATTCACTTTCAATGCTCTCACGCAAACTGATTTATTAGTTATTCGCAATATGTATAGCATTATTATAACGCTTGTTCTCTTCTCATTTCGACAACACTGTATAATTGAAGAGATTAGTGGAAGAAGCAGGTAAGTGACATGTTCAAGGGTATTTATAAATCAGGGGAAATAATAAAAAGTGGCCATATCCATATGAATATACTTAATGTAACGGAATCGCTTTTGCTTTCTTTTTAATTTTGACATAACTAATCCACATTCGCTTTAAGTAAGCTTGCACGATTTTTTCTTTCAAATTAGGTAAATAAAATATTGCAAAAAAATATTTTCCTCAACTTCTATTAAATCAACAAAAAAAAAATAGTTCGGATACCCCTTTTTACCTTCTTAAACTAATTAAAACCACTCTGAAAATGTCACTTATCTTGTTCTTCGCCTAAACTCTTCAATAACTGGACAACATTTTCTTAAATTCTTAAAATTGTCTAATAGTTTGCTTTGCATTTTTTTTCACAATATAGAGTGATGAAAAAGATATCAATGTGAAAGAAACTGCAACACATGTGCGCAACTCTCTGAACATTCCATACGCCGATGCCCACGTGATCGTCTATTCAGTGACAAACAGAAGGAGCTTTCTGCGCGCTTTAGACCTTACTTCCAAAGTTTTAAGAACGTTCAAGAGAAGTGCTGTTCTTTTAGTTGGGAATAAATCTGATTTGGTGAGAGTAAGAGCAGTGACTACGGATGGTAAGTGAGAATTAATTCACAATATAACAGTTTATTTATTTTCAAATCAGAAGTCGTCATGGAGAAATCTTCAGAGGAAGGTATTGGCTCACAATGGGCTGTCTGGCCAACTATGATGATGATGATGATAACTGTTTATTTATCAGATTCTTGATTCTTTTTTTTTTTGTTATGGAATTTTTAAACTTTAGATTTCGACCTATATTTGAGTATCCATTTTTAAATGGATACTCAGTTTAAAATAAAAGTATTTAAACTTTTAATTGTATGTCAAAGAATTTTTAAATTTTTGATATCAACGTATGTTCAAGTTTCCTTAATGAAACAAGAGTATTTAAACTTTAAAGTGAATGTCAAAGAATTTTTGAATTTTAGATATCAACGTGTATTTGAGTATGTCTATTAAAATAAGAGTGTTTAAACTTTAAATTGGACGCTGAAGACTTTTTTAAATTTTAGATATCAACCTATATTTAAGTATTTCTAATAAAATAAAAGTATTTAATTTTTAAATTGGATGTCAAAGAATTTTTAAATTTTCGATATCAACGTATGTTTAAGTTTCCTTAATAAAACAAGAGTATTTAAACTTTAAAGTGAATGTCAAAGAATTTTTGAATTTCAGATACCATTGTATATTTGTAAGGTCTATTAAAATAAGAGTATTAAATTAAGGCTTTAGTTAAAGGCTTTTTTAAATTTTAGATATCAACCTATATTTAAGTATTTCTAATGAAATAAAAGTATTTAAACTTAAAATTGGATGTCAAAGAATTTTTAAATTTTTGATATCAACGTATGTTTAAGTTTCCTTAATAAAACAAGAGTATTTAAACTTTAAAGTGAATGTCAAAGAATTTTTGAATTTTAGATACGAATGTATGTTTGTGTGGTCTATTAAAATAAGAGTATTTAAACTTTAAGTTGAAAGTTTAATACATTTTTAAATTTTAGATATCAATCTCTATTTAAGTATTTCTATTAAAATAAAAATATTTAAAATTTAAATTGGATGTCAAAGAATTTTTAAATTTTAGACATTAACTTATATTTAAGTATCCCTGTTAAAATAAGAGTACTTAAACTTTAATTTTAATAGTTCTGGATTAAAAATTAAGGTAATGCTTTTTAAATATTTTTCTTTTGTCATTTTTATTTTAAAAAATATTTAGAAATTACAAAAATATTGAGGATTATGGATATTATTTAAATAAGATAATAATTGGGTTTTTATTTTTATTTGAGTGCAATTCAGCAGAAAAACTAAAGTGCTGAAAAATTTTGATTTTTTTTTCAGTCTAGTATTCGCACTAAGTGCTTCTTAGCACCTTTAATGCAATCAACTTTTTTAAAATTGACGAATCTTAACAAGATAAGAACTAAACTTTTCATCTCATTCTGTGACGGGTAAAAGGGATAATATGCTTACATGCTTTGCTAATTTTAGAAATGGGTTTTAAATTTCATTATTCAAATTTACCCACATAAACCATGAGTTTGATGTGTACTCGTTAAGTCAAATATGTGAAATTTTAAAATTCAATCTCTCGAGAACTATTCGTTGAAATTTTGAATTTTGTTCTTTTAAATTATATGCTTAAAAATCATGAAAAAATTTGTATATCTTACAATTCTAATTCTTTTTTTATGAAATATTAAACAATAAAAAATAATAAATTATTATGAATTATTTTTTGTCATTATTGCATTTTTATTGCATTGTTTATTATTGCATTTTGATGGAAAAAAAACGAATTTCACAATTGTTTGCAAACATTTTCTGATTCGCTTAAAAAGTTATTGAAATGTGACGAAATTCACAGTAACTTTTAATCACTATCCAAAAAAAATTTCGAAACTATAATTTCCAAACTGTGATTTCTCACTATTTTTTAAGGGTCAAAAATCCAAATTCGTCGAAAAAGATGCAATTTTTATTCCGAGAATGTGCGTTTTAGCGTCTGATTTAGCAACTTAAAATATTATTGTGATGTCACAATTGGCATTACATATTTATTTCCTATCTTTTTAAAATATCCTTCATTACTTAAGCTTATTTTTATTAATAGAATTATTTTTAAAAATAATCNTCACAAACTTAATCTTTTTAAAACAAACATAAAATATTTATTTCTTCTCTTCTAGATTAATGTAACGGATACTTTTTTATTTCATTACTAATGCAGACTTATATATTCACTGTCGCCTTTAATCGAAAACAAAAATCTATTTATAGCTTTTTATTCCAATTTTCCAACGGCTAAATGTTTCGGTTGCATGGTTGTAATAATTCACATAAATTGGTTGGCGACTCGTGATCGCCAAGGTGTTCTTTTACATCCATGTTGATATGCTAGTTGGCTTTGTTTTGGCTATGGTATATTAGGAAAAATCGGCAAATTATGGATCTCCTACCCATACTTTCTATGTCCGTTGGGAATAATTATATTCACTTTTAATTTCAAAATTTGCGATTATCTGCTTGCATCACAATTATCTGCTTTAATAAATAAACATATTTAAGGTGAGGCTCATGAACCATGTGAATTTAGTCTGAGCCAGTAAAAATCCAATCATTAGATCAAAAGTTATTCAGGGTGTTTACTTTAGGACAATGTACGATGTTTTTGCAACAGTTTAAGCCCGTGAAGTACGTCACACTTGTTTGCAGGTTAATGTTGTAAATAGCCTTAAATATATTTTGTGAATAAGGTGAAACCTATCACATTGTGAATATTGTTAAACCTATCACGCTGTGAATAAGGTTAAACATATCACGTTGTGAATAAGGTTAAACACATCACGCTGTGAATATGGTTAAACATATGACACTGCGAATAACGTTAAAATTAAACTTTTCAGCTTGTATATATCATTTAAATTGCACTCTTAATGTTGCGGATATCGTTAAAATATCACATTGTGAATAACGTTAAGCATATCATGTTATAAACAACGTTAAAACTAAACACTTTATCTTGTGTTTAACATTAAAATTACATTCTTAATTCTGTGAATAACGTTAAGATTCAAACACATGCAGGTAGTAAAGGAATTAAGTAAGCACGAATCAAATGGAAGCTTTATTATCCAGTATTGACCATTTCTTTTATTCACAGATGGTCAATCTGCCGCAAAAGAGAGAGGCTGTTCTTTCATTGAGACCTCAGCTGCCATCAATCATCAGGTTGACGAGTTACTCGCATCTATATTGACTCAAATACGAGCCAAAAATAAAACTTCCTCAGATTGCTCTGCTGCCAGCAGGTGGAGCCACTCTCCTTATTCCCTGTCAAGAGCCAAAGGGTTGATCAAGAAATTCCTGAAGAAAGCTTGCTTCCAGTCTAAATCATCAGACAATCTTCAAAGGCTGTAAGAAGCCAATGAATCAGTGCCTTTTTCTTTGTCAGAAATCTGTTTGTGGTTCGAATGATTTGAATTGTAGTGTGTTGTTCTCATCTTCATAGAATAAATGTTTTTAAAAAATGGTGTAATATCGTGCAGAGATGAATGTGGTTATCATACTTCTTGGATTTTTTTATGCATTACTATGTTTAAATTTGAACTGAAACCTGGTTCATTTTAAGACCTTATTACGATAGCAGCAAAATTTGCATAGTATTATGGATTAAGTTACCGATATTGTGCAATAGCGTTGAAAGCATTTCTAAAAATGCATTTAAATAAATATAATAGTTAGACAACCAGAAGGAAATGTGGGTATTTGCTTTATCATGATTCATACGAAATATGTGAGGTAAAACTTGTCAAATTTATTAAGTATAGGCTTAAAAAAAAGAATGAGGAAAGGCAATAAATTTGCAATAAAAAATCTAAAATTAATTACTGTTTGTTTTAGTATCTTAAATTCAATACTAAAGTAAATAACACCTTAAATTTTTATAAAAGGTTTTTGCAGTTTGTTTTAGTAACTCAAATTCTATACTAAAGTAAATAACACCTTAAATCTTTATAAAGGATTTTGACAGTTTGCTTTAATATCTTAAGTTCAATACTATCAAAAACAAATATAAACTAAATCAGGTGTTGTGATTGCTTAATTGCAACGAAATAAATAAAAATAGAAAAACTTTAGTTAAATTTCTGAATTATATTTGCAATTTAAAATTATTTTTAGCTTGTGTGTATTATTTCAATGAATAAAAGAGGACTAAATTTTAAATTATATTCAGAAAAAAGTAAACAGATTAAGACTTAAACAAATAAAATAGAATTTATTCTAAATTAAATGAGCGAGGAAAGTTTGGTTTAAATACATTTATTTTTAAAATATGAAACGAAAATTCTAAAAACTGTGCTTGACTTTCAAGCATTTTATTTTGTACTACATTATAAGTTAAGTTATAAAAAAGATCCCTTGGTCCATCAGACTGCATAAAAATCATATTATTAGACTAAAAGTGATTAAAAGTCATTAAACATGTCTTAGTTTCTATTTATTGCAGTCTGACTGCGCTTTCTTTAAGCTTACTGATAAAGATAAATTTTCTTCAGAAATGTTGTAATGATATTATAATTATAGAACTAAGAAGACTATTCATGATTGATTTCGCTTATGAGAAATAATTTTGTCTATGGAGATACATTTCAAATAGTTTATATTCTTCATAAAACTGATTTTTTTTGTCTGCTACAACTATAAGAACTATACTCTTTGTAAATAAAATATGCGCCTCAAGGTCTCGCGAATTTATCCACTACCCACGCTTTTCTCACTAAACTGTGCCATAGTTTAAGCAAATCTCTTTTTTTCCCCCAGTTGTACATTTCTGTATGACAGTGATTCTCAAATTTTTTTTTTTTTTTTTGTGGTGACACACTTTCAACGATTTCGAAATTTGACGGCACAAAATGAAAAAAATTAGTTTAAAAATTGTTTACTTACCTATAATACACTGTGTTAAAATTATTTTGAATGTGAAATAAAATAGTATGTACTACAAAAGCATGTTTAATAAGGGATTCATTATTTCTTCCGACTATTTTTTTGTTAGTTAGAAACAGTTATTTATTTTTTTGCTAGTTATTAATTGTTGGCTTGTTTACTATAGTTATTATCTGTTCGTTTTTTTTTTTTTACATTAATCTTATTATTTTTTGTGATTTCCTGTAAACTAGTATTTTTGCTAATTATTAATTGTTAGCTTTTTCTTTGTTAGTTATCCTTTATTAATTTGGTTTTATAACTATTTATTGCATAGCTTACTTTAATTATTAGTTTTAATTTCCGTTTGAAAGTTAATATTTAGTTAGTTTTCCTTTGTTAATTAGTAATTTTAATAGTCATTGAATTTCCTACCTATAATTTCGAAATTTTTTAAAATTGTCAAAGACTTCCTTCTGGAATAAATACTTAGAATAATAAATGCTAAGAAAAAGAATAAATACTTCCTTCTTATTCTAACTTATTTTAAGATTGTCTGAGACAAGACAATCACCGAGAAAGATGTTCACGCGGTTAAAGCGTGGAAAATTATAACAAGTATATATATANAAAAAAACAGGATTTGCTGTAACCATGGTAACGGAGAGGGGGAAATTGGAGAGTGAAGAACTATTTACAAAGAGTATAAAATGATTGTCTAGGGGTTAATAGCAATATGAGAACATCACATCAATTCAATCATTCATGTAATCATTATCATTTGATGTTAGAGTACATAAACAACGATGTTTAAATTCATTATCATTCATTTAAATTACCAAGTGCTTGTATTTACGAGAATTACTCGTCACAGAACACAAAAAACTAGTCAGATTTTGCATTATTTTTAAATTAATATCTAGAAATTATTTATTTAGATAAAAAAGTAAGTCATAATTGTTCAACTAGTTTTAGAATTAAGTGTTCAAATGTTTTAAACTTGTGAAGTAATGCATAGAAAAATAGATATTTTTAAATTAATTCATATCAATTGATATCACTAGTCAACTGTTATTGAAATTTTTTTTCGTCAGTTATTGAAAATTACTAACGTATTTGTTCGAGTTTTAAGATATTGAATTCGGGTATTATCTCAATATTCCATATTGATTTCGTTCTGCATATTTTACAATTTTAAAAAATAAAAATTATTATTATGGCGCCTGTTTGGATATTATCAAAACTTCTAAGATTGCAAATACTAGAAAATTTTTGCACATCATTTTCAAAGGTTTAGTTTCTTTTTCTGATTTGTTAATTTAACCATTTTGTAGATGATTCCTCATTTATTTATATAAGTTGATTGGAACTTTTAACATGACACATAACAGCGTGAAAAATTATTCTAACAAATCTATTGTGTCCTAAATGAATGGAGGTGCAAAGCAGTATTAAGATTTCCAATATCGTCAAAAACTATTCTTGTTTCTAAATTAAGAAAGGTATTTTAAGCTGCTATTTTCGATGCGAAAGACGATATCATTAATTTAGAATCATTTATTCTTTTCAGAAAAAAGTGTTCTTTTTCTGTGGTGTCGCTGAATTTTTTTTTTTTAAATCTTCATACATTATTTCTTTTAATGACAAAAACAAAGCAAATTTTTTAGACGCATTTTAATATTTTACGGTTTTTTTATAATTTTCTACCATTTTTTTTCTTAATTTTAAGAATATATGATTTTGTTAAACAAAATTAAAAACTAAAAGAAATGTTTTTTAAGGCAGATGAATTGAATCCACAAAATTGATTTCATAAAACTAAAAGATCAATTGTATTAAAAAAAGGACCGAAAAGGTTTTGAATCTAAAATCTAGTTATTTAATTAAAATTATAAACACAATTATCATATATTGAAAAAATCCGATCCTTCATAAAGAAATCCGGATCAAATTGCAGCAAAATGTATTGGCAGCCTTAGTGCAGCATTCGTAAAATCTACTTACCGTAAAATTTTATTCCGTAGTTTCTACAATAATATTTGTTAATTCACAGTAATTCCGTGATTTTACAGTAAATATTACTGTAAAAAAATTACGGTATTTTTTAAAGTAATATTTATTAATTAACTGTGATTCCGTGATTTTACAGTAAGCGTTGATGTAAAAACTATGGTACATCAGCATGAATTTTTTCGATAAAAATAGACTATATGGTAAAAAGTACAGGTACCCTGATTTAATTTTCGACAAATAATTCAGAAATATGACATTATTTTAAATGAAAAAGCGAGTAGATGTTATTTCAGAGAGATGAAAGATCATACATTTAACTATCGATTAATTTTCAAACAAAACTCGAACTTGCGTTTGAATTCAATACCCTAACAGCTGAAACAAATACGCTAAAATATCTTGCTGGCATTTTGTTGACCAATGCAATCTTATTAGCAAAAGACAACGCTTTGATATATTACTGCACAATTACGAAGTAGCGTCACATTTTAAATAGAAAGTGTATTTATGAATGTGGTTGTAAAATATAAGTTCTGTGAAATAGTATTTATTCCATCTATCAAGTATAGTTTTGTATAATTTTTGAAATTTATACGAGGCCTTAATTATATACATAATTGCATATATCTTCCAAATTTTAACTTAAGCATTGTACAGTTGTATAATTGTTTGTTTCTGCGAAAGAAAGTGGACCAATTCTAATTCTTGTGCAGTATTATTTTATTTTACATTTTATATATGTTATTTGACGGGAAAAAAAATCCAGTAAAATTACCGTGCTGTATGGTAATGACATTCCTGGTAAAAAAAAATACTTAATTCTGGTTAATAAACCAAAAATATACGGTATTTAAACCGTTCATTTGGTAAATTTTCCGTTTATATGATAATGATATACCGAAAACTCTGGTTTTCGAAAATATAGTATACTACGCAATTTAGTAAAAAATGCAAAAGTGAGAAGTAAATTTAACCAAATAAGTGGTTTTATGTCATGCTTTAAAATGTCATGATAAACTTACCAAATTTCATCACGTATTATGAAACCATATTTTATTCTTAAATTTACCATTAAAATCATTACCAGAACGCTTCGGTAAACATTACGGAGTTTTTTGTTGATCCTATAGAGCTAAAAATACTGCAAATTTTACCATATTCTGGTAGTTTTTACTATTTTTTTCTCGGCTTCTTATTTATTTATTTCATATATGTAATTTTATTATAATGTTCATCAAAAGTTTCTAAAGCTGTACTGTTTACTTTTTTACATTTTACTTTATGTTTCTAATAGTATTTTCTTTTTCAATTTATACGGTTATAGTCTTTTGGAAAAATTATGTGTTTCTTTTTTATTTTTACGAAACTAATTCCATTAAAGTGATACTTTTATTATTGCTATTATACTTATACTATTTACAATTTTTGTTAAAATCTTTTTGTAAAGATTTCGAAATAATTATAAAATTAAATTACTTTATAAAACACATATTATTAGCAATGCAATATTTTTAGCAGCTTAATGGACTGTTAAGCTTGTAAACTAGCTCATAAGAAGGAAAATAAATTTAACTTTTTGTTATAAATTTGATATATTTACATGTGTT